AACTTGAAAGTCTGAATTTTTAGGCCGCAGTTATTTGTTAAAAGTGGCTTGCAGGTTAGCCATGGTGGTGCACACCTATAATTCCAGCACTTGGGAGGCCGAGGCAGGAGGGTCACTGAGTCCAAGGCCAGCCTGGGCTACCTAGTATGTTCAAGGCCAGCCTGGGCTACATAGTGAGACCCTGTTGGAAGAAAAAAAGGACCTGGCAAATCTGCTTCGTATAAGGGGAAGCTATTGTTCAAACTTTCTGCCATGATCTAAAATTATATACTTTTTCCCCCTGTTTTCTTTGGAATGCCATAAAATGAAGGACATGTAGTTGGAAGGAAGACTTTCATCTTGGAAGTTGTCAGGGGGCTGCCCTTCCCTTCCTCAATGGATGGTTGGGGATAAACATTCAGCGCGTTCTGCTCCCAAACCTAGGGGTTATCAGCACGGGCGCTGGGCCTCTCCTTCATCCCAAGCACACTCAGCTCTGTTACATCCTCCACAAATCCCAGTGGCACCACAGAGGGAGCAAACCATCGTAACAGTAAGCTTTAAGTCAGTTTTCTGAAGGAGGCCGGAAGTTTGTGTTGATCCCAAGGAGAGATTACTTTGTTGCTTTGTATAAATAAATCAAAATAAATTCCTCTTCAAGTGAGTGTCCCAAAAAGTTGAATGGGTAAGATTTACAGTTGGGATAATATTTAAGCAAGGGTGCAAACATTACTTTTAAAATCCTTGCCGGATTTTAGAGCTAGAGCTGTATTTTTAGACGTCTCATTTGAGAATTCCTCTCCAAACTCCTCAATAGGGATATTATTTTAAAAATAGCTTTAATGTGTAGCTTATATTTCCAAGCTCATCTGAGCCTGAACATCGTGGGAGACCCATGCTCCTGGCTGTAGCTCACCCCTGTTTGTGTTGCCACAGCCTCAGGGCCTGCGGTGGCCAGGCTAGATTTTGTGTGCAAACCTTCCCTCTGGCTAGACCATCGGCTTCAGAACCTCAGCCACCATCACACAGAAGCATCTGTATTCCAGGCTGCCGCCCTTACGATAACATTAACCAACAGTTACTAACCAGCATCACATATGGAGTAGTGTGTGTATGGAAAATGAAACAGAAGGACACCTCAGACGGCCAAATAAAGTAAGAGGTCATCAGTCTAACTGGCAGGGAGAAATGGAAAAGCAGATTCGAGCTAGAATACAGGGAGCTTTGCAGTTAGACTGAGAAGTTTGGGCTTTTTTTTGGAGATGGGAGCCATTGAAAGTTTGGTAGATTGGGTGTGGTGGCACATACGTGTAATCCCAGCCCTCGGAAGGCTGAGGCAGGAGGATTGCTACAAGGTCAAGGCCAACCTGGGCTACATAGTAAACTCAAGTCTGGCCTGAACTACACAGCGAGACCCTTTAAAAAAAAAAAAAAAAAAATTGGCAGAAGAGACTTTTCAGAAAGAGTAACTTGGCAGACATTGGCAAGATAGCTCAGAGGAGAAAGAGATGAGTTGGAAGTCAATAATAAATTCAAATATGAAACCATCTAGAGGCTTGCAGTGACAGTGGGATACTGAGTTATAATGAAAAATAGCTAACATTAATTGTATGCTTTCCACATGCCTACTACTTTGTCAGTGATTTTTATGCATTAAATAATATTTGCAGTCATCTATTGAAGTGAACTTAATTAAATATCATTCTTTTTCAGATGAAGAGAAAGGCTCCAGGCAGTAAAGAAACTTGCTTAGTGTTCCCTGGTTAGGATGCTTCTGACCTGAGATACAAATTCGGGCAGCCTGGCCTCAGGTCACTGGCCGCCAGCCATGCCTTCAGCAGGCAGCTGGGGTCTTTTTGGCTTTCTCCTGCCACTATGGTGAGGCTGAGACTGCAAAAGACTGTTGCTATCACTCTGCCTCATTATCGTTTGTCTTTGTACACAGACCTTACCAAGACGGTGTCCTTACCGGCTATTAACTGTAAGAGACTCAAAACATTTGCCGATGCTTGGATCTGTGTCAAAAGAGTCCTGTGAGCAAAGAAGGGGGTGAAGGCGAGGCACAAATACAAAACATCCCTCATGACTGCTTACCAAGTTCTAGCACAGAGGGGAAGAAAATTCAGGTCTTTCCACCTTGTTGCTTTCCATTAGACACTAATGGTATGATTCACCTGGTTTTGTTGGTCTCGGCTCAGTGATTTTAGGAGGCATTTCCTCCAAAAATGGGACATTTGGAACTCACTTGATGTTAAGTTGTTTGGTCTTTTATTGGCATCCTGAGTCATTGTCAGATGAAGAAAATTCATTATGAACTCTAATGACTATACTTCTTTTATAGAGCTACTATGAAAGATCCCCAAACGTTTAAAACTTTTTTCTGTGTATTAGTTCATGTTTGCATTACATAATGATGACATTCATTGCAGGCTGTTGGTACATGTTGGTACATCTCAGTTCTTTTCACATCTCGTTACGCTCTTCTTCCTTCTATCTCTTGGTCTTCTTCCTATTTGCAAAAGATCTATTTTTCTACTGCTTTATCTTTTTTTAGTTCTTTAATTTATTTATAGTTTGGGTTTCTCATGTAAGAGAAACCATACGATATTTGTGTATCTGATTTATTTTACTTAATGTGTTGGTCCCAAGGTGCATCCATTCTATAGCTGACTCAAGTTCCTTCTTTTAACAGAATACTATAGTATTCCATGTGTGTGTAAACACCACATTTTCTTTATTCACTTGTTGGTGGACATATAGGTTGCTTCTGAGATATAGCTGTTATGAGTTGTGCTGCTATAAACATGGGAATATCCCAAAATATTTGGAGGCCATAGCTGACTCAGACCAGTATCACTTTGTAAGAACAAAGCCAAGAATAGAGGCTTACCATTTAAGTTTCTTTTAACACTTGTTCTTACAAATTAAAAGGCTGATGCGAAGTCACTCAGAAGGTGGCCTAGTTAGATCATGTTTAAATTAAGGAAATTCCATATCGATTATGCAAAACAATTTATATTTTTTCCTATCATGAAACTTTTCTATGTAAAGATAATGTTAATTCAGGCGATACTAATTTTGGCTAGGGGTACAGATATGTCTGTTTACTTTGAAAAATGCTGTTAATAAGTATTGAACTGTTGAAGGAATTCTGTTTTAGGAACACAAGAAATATCTGTTATAGACCTAAACTATTTACAGATTGTTGCCATCATATTATACAACAGAGGAGCCTGAACACACATATTTGATTCAACATCAATTTCAACAAACATTTCTTGAGAGCCTGCATATAGCTAAGTTCATGAGATGAGCTTTGACTGCTAAAATGGATTCTCTATGCTGAATTATATTAAAAATAAGTTGTTTACTGTTTTAGTAGGATGACCTCTGGTCAGGCCTAGCTAGACTTTACTGCATCAGCAGATCAACCTATTGATTAACTGTTGTGTCTATTTTAAGTTTAAACTTTGGACAGGCAGTGATTGAAATGGATTTAGTTTTGCAAGCAAGCAGATTACAGAGGCAAGCAAGCTCAGAAGGACTATTGAGAAACCTTAAAATCACTTTGTTTAGAAAGTGAAACAAATGTCTTTATTTCATAAGATAAACATCCATATCAGAGCAGCTGCACAATACAGTTCTCTAGCTGGAGACATTTAACTATTCATTAATAAACTTGTCAATTTTTAATAAAAATATTACTAAGATCTAGAAGGTTAAAGTTAACAGAAAACTCTGAAACTATTTTTAAAAATTGAAAATAATCTTTATTTGATAGAGTGTGGATCTAGCTTTAGTCAGAATTGGTATTAGAAAGTAGGACATTTTAATTTTAATGGGAGAAAAAGTTCATCAAATCCTTGAGGAAAAGTTTAACATTTAGGTCACTCTTCCTAATAATATTGGGCTTCTAGAACTGATACTGATCGAGAACTAAAAATTCTATTTCTGCTTAGGAGCTGCTCTAAAAATTGATTTCAGAGAATCAGTTTTTAAAAGCGAACCTTCTCCAAATCCACATTTCTTATTAAATTTTACTTTATATTTTTTTACTGTATTTTCCTGAATATTTTACCCATAGAATTGATTTTTTTTCTATTCAAATGATAAAATCCTTTAAAAAATTTTTTGGCAGATGAACTATTAAAAACAATGTGATTGTTTACAAAAATGTAAATCCATGCAGTATTCAAACAGCTTGTGGTAAGAGAGTCACATAGTATTGTTTGGTATTTGTATTGGTTTGGGGCGGCTTATTTTGCAAGGGGAACAGCATAATACAGGACACATACTTTATATGATTATTTATAAGTCACCCAAAGAACAGTATACAAAAGAGTGCAGGGAATCTGTCCACACACTAAGACCAAGGAATCCAGCTGAGGGCCTGGATCCCACAACAATGTCCTACATGAATTGAGCTAAATACCCAGAGCTCATAATAATGCCTCCATAAATCCAGCTGGAGGCCCAGAACCCATGACAACGTCCCATGCAGGCCTCTTTCACGGATCTGCTGGAAAGGCCCAAAGGTCAGTGGTGGAATCTACAAAGTCTATGCCAACAGGAAGAAGGATCTGTGCTAGCAGGCTGAGGGATCTGCACTGGAGCCAGGAAGTGATGCTCAGAAGAACCAGGGCTCCCCCAAAAGGTACCACGGCCATCCTTGGCAACTGTGAGGTCCCGAGCTCCTCCGATGATCAGGATGGCCGAGTTCCCATCAGGGAAGCCAATGCAGCAAGCTTTTCCAAGAGTCGGGCAGTGCATCATCTTCCCCTCTGGAACCGGGAAGCTATGCTCAAGTAAGGACCAGAGCTCCCCAAAGTGAACCAAAGCCATTCTCAGTGCCAGCGAGGTCCTGAGCTCCTCGGAGGATGAAAACAGCCAAGTTCATCAGGAAGCCAGCTCCCCACGGTCTCTCTCAGCTCCCAACAGCTTCTCTCAGCTCCCAACAGCCTGCTTCTTCTTCTCCAGGTCTGCCTCTTATGCTGCTGACAACAGTCCTCAGGTGGGCCTCCCACACCCAGCACCACTCACTCAGTTCAGCTGGGGGTTATAAGTTGACCACTAGTTATCAATCCACTACAGTATTGTTTGAAAAAGTCCTTTACCCTTCTCCCTTTCCCACACTGTCTCTACCTGCAGCTTGGCACTCAGCTGCGATCCTGTCTCTTGATGTCTACCCGCATAGTCACATAACTGTGTGCAGATAAATGGCTTTGAAGTTTTTTTCCTTACATTTCTATTCCATTTTCATAAAAATTTTTTGTTGATAATGAAGTAAGAAACTTATATAGGAAATAATGTTTATTTCTTCCAAACTATTTGGAGGTAAATTAACAGTTGAAAAAATCCATTTAAACAAATACTCCTCACTGAATATTTCTCTGGCAATATTTCTCCTGTTCATCCTTGTCTGAGTTCAGGGGTATGTAAGAAATGCAAGCTACATGCACAGTTTGTTTCTGCCCCACATAATTGTTTTTACGATCAAGAAGAACAAAACTCTTGAAAGTCTTCCAGAGAAAGGTCACCTGAAAAACCTTCTCCGTGATCTTCCAATGGCCTCTGGCCATGGCCCCCTCTTCTCTCCCTTCTCGTCAGTCTTGCCTTGTCTTTCCGTCTCTTTTACTTATCATTCTTTCCCTTTTTCCTCTTTCCAATTCTGCTGACTCATGATTGTCACTGATTTTGATTGTCACATATTCTTTTATGAGAGGAGTCACACTGGCCTAGGATGTTACACATCCAACTGCTGCTGAGCACTGATTTGGGGGCAGTGGCACTGCGGCATAATGAGCTCTGTAGCCACATGACCCATCTAGCAAGTGAATGTAGCACTCACTTGCTCTGTGACCATAGTAAATTACTCAACCTCGCTCACTTCAAGTTCTTCAATAAAATAATAAGATCTGCCCCTTTTGGCTGTTGTGAGGAAATAATGACAGGAGGGATTGTCACACACCTTAGCACAACCTCTCAATAAATGGAGGCTCTCATTACTATAGTGTGGCAACAATAGCTTTGAGGCTGGCATGGGAGAGACAGGGAGAGTCTCAGTGAATCTTGAAAGACGAGTTGACTTCTGGAAGGGTACTTCTTGAGTTTGTAAAAGTTTTTGTGAGAAAGTGGGAAAAGAAAAGACCAAATAAAAAGTGATCCAGACAATCCACTGGGTAAAACATTTTAAATTAGATATGAAAGATCAAAGGGGTAAGTACAAAAACGATAATTTACAGGACAAGATCAAAATGCTGAGACACAAGATGGGGAAAGGTGGACTTCAACCCAATATGGCAGCCTGGATACAATTAGTTAAATAAATACTATTTATTTATAAAACCAATAAGATAGTGGGAGGTATGAAAGGCAAAGGGCAGGAAGTGGCCTTTCCCAGCACTAATCCGACCCGAACTGTGGCTACTTTATGTCTCCTTGAAGGAGGATGTGGGGAACTGGCAGAGCTCCAGAGAAGAGCAAGAATATAATTAAGACTTGGAGAATAAAGTCTGTGAGGGAAGTAAAAAAAAAAAAAACAAAAAACTATAGGATTCTTTATCTGATAGGATAAAGGTCCAACTCATTTGAAGGGTCATTATAAGAAAGACATTGGTAGTTTCTATCTCCACAAATAGTAAGACAAGAGGAAAGAAGCTGACATCACAGTGGAGAAGATTTGCGGCTGTGAGAATCCTTAACAAGGAGGCTGGAAGGCTCATGCTGACAACTGCAAAAGGAAAAGTGTTAATGTAAAACTATAACATGTCCACGCATTCACAGCAGCCTGCCGAGGGAAGAGGAATGTGGTATTCAATTACCAGCTTTTATAATATTTTGAAAACAAGCCTCTTGTTTACTATTTGTTTGAAATAATTGAGTTATTTACTAATTAAATCTAGGTATTAACAAAAGGTTACTTTGAAGGTGTAATGCAAATCAGATGGGTTTGGGTCTCTTTCAGACAAAGCTTTGCCCCATTCCAGTGGCTTGGGCCCGTGGTGGGGAACTCATGACATGTGTTGTTTGTTTTTCTTTTAAGACAAAAGATGTTAATGTATGAGTTGTTTTTCCTAAACTGAAACCTCACTGTTTAGGCTTAATTGCAGTGTTGGCACTTTGGAATAAATAAGTGGGCTTTGCATTGTAGTTTGGGCCCTCGTCTCTAAAAGGCTCACCATCAGTGGTTTGGGCCAGTCATCACATGGGGCCACATTTATTCACCACAGCTGAGGAGCAACTGCATTTGGCTGTGACTTTTAGAAGAATCTGTTAAATCGCAATGCTGCTGATATCCATTCTGTTGCACAGCAAGGCTGTGATGGTCGGAACGCGCGGGACTGTCTGTCTTTCACTCTGGCTGTGGGGAGGGAAGGTGGAGTGCCACAGGGATTTTGAGGAGTTTCGCCTCAGGCTCTGGTGATGTCCAAGTCAGGAGGGGAGGGCATCTGCATCTGTGAACATGGGGTCCGCCAGTGCTTCCTGCTGTGCTTCCCATCTCCGTGCTGACTTCAGTTTGGCTGCTTTCTCTGCTGCTAAGCAAGGGCATGTGTGGTGAGGATTTAAAAAATTCTTGAAAAAGTTTGTCTATTGTTCTTGTTTTCATTTTCCTCTCATCTCACATCATTTCTATTGTAATTTCTGGTATTCATTTTCAATGCTATTGGTAATACAGAGCAATATGACTTGGGATCTTTCCACGTTAGCATATGTAGTTCTACTTCCTTTGTTTTCACTATTGCTTTTTTATTCCTTGGTATGGATATTCCCTCATTTAAAATATTTAAGAGTAAAAACTTTGACAATCAGAATAGGGATTTTGAGGGGTACTGATGGAAGGCGAAATGTCAGTTTCTTCTGGAGTGCTGGAAATAAATGTTCTTCATTTCACTCTGAGAAATAAATGTGCTATATCAGACTTTGATGGGTTTCTTTGCTAGTATAGATATATAAAAAAGGTCTTGTTTGTGTACTTCACACAATATTTTATTGCATGTGTATTATATTTCAATACAAAGGTTTAAAAAATGAATGAAAATCATACTTTAAAGCTATCATAAAGCATTTAAGAAACAGGGTAGGCGTGCAGAGAAGGCGAGCAGCTGAAAAAGGGAGCTAACATGAAGCACCTCCTCTACCGTAAGCATATTTTATAATTTCTCATTTAGTTGTCAACAACTCTGTGAAGTGGGTATTCTTATTCTATTTTTGTAGGTAAGGAGACAGACTCAAAAAGGATAAGTGCATTGTTCAAATTCATACACATTTGTGCAAGGTGCTGAACTGACTCTAAAGTTCTGAAAGCAGTTTTGTTAAAGTAGGAAAGAGTGAAGCTCAGAGGCTTGGTGAATCTCCAATCTCGCAAGCTCATGCTCTGGGCAAGTAGCAGGTCTGCTGGTCTCTGGTCTCGTGCTCGTCTGTGGAACCAACCACTGGCTCTTTGTTTAATTTTCAGAGTGGTCAACAAAGTTGTTCTCTCTTTTTTTAAAAAAAAAAACAAAAAACCTGGAATATGCATTAAATGTGAGAATTTAGCATTGGAGAAACTTCTAGAGGTTCCCTGCCAAAGATTCAAACATCTGACATTCATGAAAGAAGTGAACTAAACTGCTCAAGAGTCCAAAACATTTTTGTTTCATCTTTCATTTTGTCTCTGAGGTAACTTGAAAATTATACGCTTTTGTAGAAAACGATTTGGTTTTTAACCTCAGATATGTGCATAAAAGCTGTGTTACCCTTGTTTTAGAATGGATGATATGAATAGTTCAAACTGACAGAGAGAATGACCTGGGATAGCATGGGGAAATTCATGTAATAGTATACATAAATTACACACATTTCTGCATCATTCTGTCATTTGGTTATAGAGACTGGTTTTCCCTTTCCTGGTTATTTCCCCTCAATATATTAAAAAAAAATTAAGTTCACCTTTTTATAATCTTTATTTTTATTTTTATTTTTTTATTTTTTTATTTTTTTTGGTTTTTCTCTGGTACCGGGAACCGAACTCACGACCTTGCGCTTGCCAGGCAGGCGCTTTGCCGCTGAGCTAA